GGGCGGGCAGCGGGAGGCGAGGGCAGGCGGCGTCCCGGGCACGGCCTTCCCTGATTCCGGCAGCGCCCGCCGGAAGGCCCGCGGCGGGGACGGACGCCCCGCCCCGCTCGGATCATGTGCTTCTTCCATAGCCCCTCCTTCTCCCTTCCCTGGGGCGCCCCCCAGCGGCCCGACTGGGCCCCGCCGTTTCTCCGGTCGGCGGCGGCAGGCGGGGATGGCGCGGGCCGGCGGGGAGAAACCCATCCTGGGAAGGGCTCTGCCGTGCCCAGCCTCGGCTGCTGAGCTTGCCCCGTAACGGGTGACGGGCAGACCCTCAGCGACGCCGCTCTCCTGCAGCCGTGCCTAGTGCAAAAGCCCCCGTTACCCATCTGTTAGACTCCGGCAGAAAAGGAATACTTACAAACCATACACAATAAAAGGCATTTTACAGGGTTGGGTAAACAGCATGGACTGTTAATCTACTTAATAATTCAGCCCCCAAGCTCTCGCTGCATGCTCTACAACCAAACTCACTTCAATCTCACACTGATAGAATGGATACATCTGGTTAGACAAATACTGCTGGTCAGTTTATAGCAAAGAGCCCTTGAACAATCATCACAAGCGTCAGTCTCCAAGGGCTCTTGAGTTTCTACAAAACTATTTCAGGGGGCTTTATGCAGCTGCCTTGTAAGGTGAGGTCTAGGTAAGCAGCACTGCCAAAATACATGTGGTAGCTCCACGCAGAAGATGCAGCTCCGCCTTCTCCAGTAGGCTGAGACTGTTTTGCGACATCCCTTAGTGACAACAGTTCCTGCTCCTTCATCCTTCTTGCCTCAGGATATGCATGGACATTGCAGTCTGCACAAGCAGCTGCTACAGTTTTGCCGAACTTGGAAATAAAATGGGAGAAGCAGTCTTGGCTTTCTGTCACAGGATACCCATAACAAAGCTGTTCCTCATCACATTACCCACTGTGCTGCTTCTCATTAAAAACAGTGCCTCACACTCTCACAACAATAAAATTTCTACACCACTCAAAGCAATTGTGGTCAGCTCTGAGGGCTATGACACAAGAAGGACATGGGCAAACCTGTGGGAGCAAGTCTAGAGGAGGGCCGTCACAATGCTCTGGGAGCTGGAGAGTCTCTCCTATGAAGACAGGAGAGGCTTGTTGACAAACCAACTTGAAGACAAGTTGGGCTTGCTCAGCCTGGAGAAGAAAGGCTCCAGGGAGACCTAGCATGCTGCCTTCTAGTACCTACAGGGGGTCCATGAGAAAGCTGGAGAGGGACAGGACATAGGGGAATGGCTTTAACAGAAGGGAGATTTAGATCAGCTATAAGGAGTAAGTTCTTCACTGTGAGGGTGGTGAGACACTGGCACAGGCTGCCCAGAGAAGCTGTGGCTGACCCATCCCTGGCAGTGTTCGAGGCCAGGTTGGATGGGGCTTTGAGCAATCTGGTCTAGTGCATGGTGTCTCCGTCCACGGTCGGGGCGGTGGAACTGGATGATCTTTAAGGTTCCTTCCAACCCAAACCATTTTGTGACTCCATGATTTTAGGCCTATATTATTCTCTAAGGCAACATTCCATTCCCCCGTTTGAAACTAGTCTAGCTAGCGTTCATGATGTGAACTTTGCACTTGTGAAGTTTGTTTTCTTTTAACCTATATGCGTGTGTAAAAACATGTATTTTTAATATATAAAAACCATTATGTACCACAAACAATGCAGTTATTACCTACATAAATATACTAGAAGGCTGGCTCTTCTGTGTTTTACAAAACACCAAAGCTGTGACAAAGTTGTACAGCTAGTGAAAAGGGTTCCTCAAATGGATTAAAAAAATAATGAACAACTGTACCACCTTGAACAGTATAAACAGGAGCATCTAAGTACCGATATCTAGGACAGTTCAAAGTTTAAAGGAGCTAAACAAGTTAATGTGCCTGTGATCATGACGAATGTTGGAAACATATAAATGTACGTACTCCCGAGTTTAACTGTAACAGTATCTGAGGCAAGTGAATTCAGTCTTCTCCTTCCCCAAAAGCCACCTCTCAGACAAACTAAAACAATAATAAAGGGAATAAATTCATGAGAATATTGGCTGGACTCCTTTAAGTATTACAGACTCACTGTGGGACTTAAGTCATTCTCTCTGTTAATCCTCTTCATGTTTCTTCAACTGTTAGTTCCACTTAACACACTGTCATTTGTTCACACAAAACAGGATTTTTTTAAAGTGTTCTCAATTCAGCACGAATGATTAAATCTTTACTTCAAAGCCAGGGGTTGTGCTCAGTAACAGAAAATACTTGAATATCTCCGTGTAATTTACAGCAGCATGGTATTTCAGGCATGCTTGCTGAGTGTCTGGAAAGAATTCCAAATATCACAACAGTGGTAGCCTCCCTAACCTAACCCAATCCATTCTTGTAGGGTAACTCAGCAGCAGAAGCCATCTTTGTGCTCAGTGGTTTTCACAAGAGAGATCGGCTGCTCTAGGGACTTCTGCTAGGCTGTGAACAGGGTTTTTCAGGACTTAATTTCCACTACATGCATAAATATCTCATGAGGTTTAAAAGGACAAAGAGCAAAAACACCACTCATACAACCTCAGGAAATATCACCAGGTTAGCAGGTAGCCTAGCTTGTGCTGCACAGTGACTGACTCTTGTACAGTAATTTCCAACTGTGTACACACAGTGAAAGGGTTGTAATGAAGGCTACCATGTACCAGCTGTCCAGAGGTGCTCCCAGATACATGGTCACCGAGCAGAATGGTGCCAGCTGGCAGAGTTTTAAAGCATCCCTCCAGGGTGGTGAATCCATTGAGGTCTGTACCTGGCAGAAAACTGATAAGGGAATGGGGGAGCTGGAACAGGGTTTCTGGTGGCCTTGTCTCTCCTGTATTTTACAAAGACAGCTGAGCAGAACAAAGAAGCCATGTCTGTGAGTCTGCTCATACAATGGTTGCACTGCCACAGACAAGGAACTTAAGGGACTCTGCTTCAGACTTAAGCTTTTAGCACAAACCTCAGAAAAGTCAATAGGACATTTTTTAATTTTTTTTCCCCTTCTCCCTTTCTTTTGGCACTATCTGATTTTGGTTTTTAACACTCTTCCCATATGAACTGTATTGGTGAGATACACATCATCAGGATTGGTTATATCCCAGACTTTCAATAAAAACAGTGGTGTAAATGACATACTTGTCTTTGCCACGATGTTCCTTAGAGGCCTAGTTCCAGAGATGCACAAGAAAAGTTTAATTTTCCTGATAAAAACATGTTCTCAAAGTACAATTCCTTATCCTGCTTACTTAAAAATTGGAGATGCTGCATGTAAAAAGAAAAGCCTCTCTAGTTTTCTGGTCTATCTTTGCATGTTGTGTTAATATCACCACCTTTAAAAATGAAATTGCAATGCCATACCCAATAAGGAATCCATACCAATCTTGTCCACTGCATACAACGTTTCATATTGGAGAGGAGCTAATTTCCTTCTTTAAAAATAACTTTCAATGTTTGACCATACTGATGCATCCCCTAAAACTCAAGCACAAAGACTGAAACAGTTCTTAATCATAAATCCCACCATTACAAAAACCAAACAAAAACCTCCAGTGCCTGAAAGTCATGCATTTGCCAGTACCTGATATGAGGAGCTAGGAATTCCAGATGAAGGATTAAATGGGCAGCCACTGTAATTTTCCGAGTGATTCTTTCTGCAGGAAGCTCTTGTGACAGTAAATCAAACTGGTGACACAGACTTCCTTACAGCTGCTGCCACTCAATGCACACTCAACTGCAGAGTAGTAGATCTTCAAATAAAAACTCTAGCAAGAAGCCAATGTACATCAGTGCAGAAGCAGAGCACGTGATAACCCTTAGGACACAGTTTGAAGTGACTTGGGCCACAACAAATGTCAATTCCAGAGAAGCATTCATTTGACCTGTGAGTAAATGTCGGTACATTGAAGACATTATGACTACAGCTTGCTGGCAGACACCACTATACAACAGTTGAGCCCTTTGTGTGGTAATTTATCTGTACCCATGAAAGAATCTACTACCACATAAAAACAAGTCTGCAATTTCATGAAAGGGCAACAGCAATATTTCAGGCTAATGACTTGAGGTTAGGCTGTACAGCAGCTAGGTGCGTGGGAAACTGATCCCCCCCCCCCATGTGTGATAAAGAGGAGTCACAAAACAAGCATTGAGCTAGAAATAAATCATTTATTTTAAAACAATACAGGTTAATAAATAGATTAGTTATCAGAAAACTTAATAAATAGCCTTTTATAATTTACACAAGGCAAATACAACATGCCTATAACTATTACTTAAAAAGCAAAGAGAGTAAGCTTGACTTGTAAGCCGTTAACAAATCTATATATACATTATTTGGAAGCTAATAAAATAAACCATTTTTATGTAATCCGTAGTAACTATATTGCAATAGCATTGAAGCAACCAAACCTGACACTGTATGTTTGTTGCCAACCACCTTTTCCCCATATCCCATTAGAACTATTTTTACATTCCAGAGGAAAAAAACCAAGGGGGGGGGGGGCAGGAGGGAGAGAAAGTTCCACAGTTTAAAAAGGAAAATACCCCTTTTGTGTAATATTTTCCGCTCTGTAGAGCAACTGTCATGGGAAGGGTGGGGGGGCGGGGGGGGAGCAACACCCAGCACAACAGAAAGATAAAACCCAAAACTTATTTGCAGGTTTCAAGAAGGATTTCTTAATCTGTAACATTTCAACACTGTTGTTTGAAATACTTGGGCACTAGTAGTAGTAACTGTTGACATAATTGGTGCCTAGCATGGTACACACTAAAATTCTGCATCACTTAAGTGCGTATTTAGTAGCACCAAGGAGTTACTACTAAGACTAATCTCTGTAAAGAAAAGATAACAGGTAATAGATGAACATTTGCTTTAACAGTAAAAGTTCAGCAGTTACACCATCTCAAGACAACTGAGGAAGATCTGTAGTATTTTTGATGGTTTATATTTATGAAACAAGAAGGTTAGAGGGGTACAACATGCAAACAACTGCCCATCTGAGCACCCCATATTTATTAACTGCAAATCTTTCTTAAATACAAGCCCTCTATTTTTTTAAATGAAAAGGAAACCTAAACCTCAGTTTCTAGCGTTTCAACAAATTAATCCAGTGTTTTCAATTTTCAGTGCTAGTTACTTCAGAAAAATACGTGTGTTCAATATAAACCAAGATCATTAATAGGAAGCATACTTGTCAAGCTGTGATATGACAGGTTCTTATTAATGTTAGTTGCAGCTCACTAATAAATAGGCTCTATTTACACACACACAGTCCAGTCCTGGAAAGTCAGCACAGCAGATAACTTGTTTTGAGATTTTTCTTCTTTACATAAGTATTTAAGGTGTAACAAATCTTTTTTTTTTTTTTTTTTCCTTGGTGGTATCAAAAAGGTTTCTATTCTCCTACTGAACATTTGAGGGATTTTTGTGTTTGACACCTAATAAAGACTGTGACTGACACATGTAAATCCTCCATACACTGAAGGGATAATGATCAAAGAGCTATCTTCAAGTGAGTACCAAGTAAATATGTTTGACTGGTATAACAGAAGCCAGACATACGGAGTGGAACGCCTTTCATATGGATTTGGCCTTAATTCAGATGCATCCCACCACTGTGATGAGTCCACTTTTTGTATGCATAGCCTCTCCCACTTCTACTTTGGAGTCAAAACTGAAGTATCTGGCTCATAGCTATTGACAGATGCAATGCAAAGAGAACGTGAAAGGAGCAGACCCATGAGGGACACCAAAGCTCAGGAGACAACTATGCACATTTGCTCCCTGAGATGATGAACTCGTATCTGTCTTATGCAAAGTACTTACTTGTCAAAAGGTAGAGGGAAAAAAAAAGGAGGAAACAGATAAAATTCAACTTCAACAGTGCCTCTTTTTAAATCAGAAAATCAACAGGACTAAAAACGGTCGGACATTAGAATAAGGAGAGCACGAATGGAGGAGGGAAGAATCATGCCGACAGTGACAATGGAAAGTGGTAATACATTTCTAAGTTAAAACTTAACCAGATGCAGTACAGCAGAACGCAAAAGAACACTGCAACAAACTGAACAAAGTAGCAAAACTAAAGGTTTCAATTATTTAGCATTCATGATGTAAAAGGCTACAGATATGAATGATGCGCAAGGCCACAAGAATTTCTTTCACCTTATGTGCTGGCTTTTGACATCTCTGTTTTAAACAAAGTTAACTAGACATTTCTAGAAAGCTCAGCACAGATGAGGAGCAGCCAGGGAGAAAAACTTAGCAGACATTTACCAGCTGTAAGGATGGTCAGAGGACCACAGAACACGGCTGCTACTTTATTCTTACTCTGCATAGTGAGTGCCTGTCAAGTAAACTTGTGTGTGGTGCAGAAAATGGTGAGGTTTAAACAGGGCAGTAAAGTTATTTTGGATCCAATATTACTAATAATTTGCATATGCACCTAACATACTAGGATAGGCACTTTCTAAATAAATAAGAAGGAATTTCAAAACAGAAAAAGACAAACAAGTATGGCCAAAGGAGGATTAAGATGCAACCACAATCATTTCCATTCTGACCTAAAGATTTTCACAGAAGTCTTCCAAGATTAAAGGCTAGTACAAAACCAACGTGCAACTCATGAACTCTGAATCTGAATTTTGAAAAGGCAACTTGATTGCTTCAGAAAACGGCTAACATTGTTTTAAAAAGTAGGTCACTACAGGTCTCACAAACTATATACAGTTCCAATCAGAAAAAAAAGTGAATCAATATGACAAAACCTAACTGCCTGCTGAGAACCAAGATACCATCCTCCAACCAGTAACTTGACAGAGGTTACTTTTATCCTGCTTTCATAGTCCCAGTTTCCCTCATCTACAATTCTCAGACTTTCTAGAAACCACACACAAGATATGAAAATCCATGAAGCTGGCCCTTTCACTGCTAGCGCTACCTTATTTCACCAAGATACCCAGCTTCATTGCTGACCTAGAACAACATACGTTTCTGCTAACTCAGAGTCATTCCCCTGCAATCTGGAGTTATAAAACAAGCTTCCAAGTAACAGTGGGGCTCCTACTCCCTCAGAGGAGTCCCTTTGGAATACCAGATGTTTAGGAGTCACTGTTCATGATTATTGCTGCCATTAGAAGAGCTTATACCATTCCTTTTAAAATAAAACGGAGGCTGAGTTTTGACATTAATTCAGGTCAAAAAGACATCCTGAGAGTGAGCAGTGTACCTCCCCATCAATCAACATCCACGTTCCCGTCAGCCATCTGCAAAGCTACATTCATCATTCCTTGATAAAGTGTCACGGACTTTTTCAAATACTGTCTTGTAAACACGTTGGGTTTTTTGTTGTTGTTTGTTTCAAGAACATTCTGAACTACGGATGTTGAGTTCCACTGTACCCATCCATTGCTGTAATTAAGTGGAAAACAACATTCATCACTTTTCAAGCTTTCCTCACAAGTTTTTGACTCGTGATGTTTTAACTACCAAATAGAACATGAAAATTAACTACTTTTTTTTTTCTTTGGCATATCAATATTCTCTAAATGGTTTAATCTGAACAGTTCAGAGCTTAAGGTCTCTGTGCTACTTGTCAAAATATTACAGCTGAACTGTTCACACAGGTCTGAATTACTGGATCTGATTACTGGATTTCCCTGTTGGTTATCTGAAACTTAGCTCTCGGAATGCCTATGCCTTTTCAGTCTTTAATGCCCTTTTCCCACGTTAAAGAAAGGGTCAGAGCATCTTTTTTCAGCTATGAGATACCTCATGCTCATCTCAAATTTCTTTTTTTTGTGGTCCCTGCATATTAGTTGCTTCACAAAACCTTTTCCTATATTTAGTCACTTAACTAAAATAAAGGTATGCTAGATTGCTTTAAGGAGTCTGCCTGTAGATTACCTCTTCCCATTAGGACTATGGTTTTTTCAGAAGCTGTCAAGGCATCTGAGGGTTTTAGTTCAGGTTGGTAAATTGTTCCGAAAACGTGTGGCGGCTTCTGGGTGCTTTATGTGCTCAGAATTTAAATACAGTCCAATATTATAGACAGTAGAACTGAATTATTAAACTAGCATAGGCCATCTGAAACAAATACATTCACATTTACGCAGTAGTTTTGGATTACAAAGGCACTGATATAGTTCTGAGCTGTTTACGAATAAGCCACCATATAGGCAATGAATCTGTGCATCATTTCCACATCCTTCACAGTCTTTCTGTTGGCTCCCAATTAAAAACTCTCAGATGAATGTGGTATGTCTTAATGCACATAAGTTACAAAGAAAAATGCATACCTGGACACTACCATCAGATGATAAGTAATTAGTGAAAGATTTTTAAGGGTCCACTGCTCTGTATAAGAATTCAGTTTAAAACTCCCAAATGTTTTCACTGCCTGGCAGACCAAGTTGTGAAGACAGTCACTAAAAAGGACACATCTGCAGTCCCTGGTTCAACCAACATTTGTCTCAGAATTCAAAGCCTTGACAGTGAACACATTGCTATATTGAGACAAACAAGTTGTTGTACTCCCTTCTTCCCTTTCCCCCATATTTTAAGGTATACACCACTCATGAAAGGTGTCAGATTGAGTGCATTAGAAACTGATGTTCTCTGCCCACAGAAACAGTACCTCAGAAGCCACAACACAAGCTTTCACACACAGGTCTGTCAGAATATCACCAGATCTTTTCTGATAACATTACCTTTTACAGTAAGGAAACACATCAGTCTCTATGCTGACTCAATCAGTGGTTCCAATTAAGGTCATTTATTGTGTTGACTAGGGTACATGGATAACTGTTCCTTTGAAACTGGATGGAGGCCTCCCATTCATTTCACGTAGGCCACCAAGTTTGTCAGAGGATAGCTACCAACCTGAATCACATTTGAATCAGTGACCTAGAAATGAAAGGCTCTGCATCTTTCCCTGAGCCATCCAGTTTCCCCTCAAAAAATGTTTTAATCTGTCTTCATGTTAGGTTTATTTAAATCCCCGATATTGAAGTTGAATTCCTTGAAGACTTGTATAAGAACAATTCCAATAGACACTGTGGTGAATCCACAAGCCATTCCCAAGAAATCTACCACTCCTACATTACTCCATTCCCTAAAAAGGATAGCTGAAGCCAGCAGGACTAGGCTGGTAAACACAACATAGTAGATGGCACCAAATACAGAGGAGTCAAAACATTCTAGTGCCTTATTGATGTATCTGAACTGAATGATAATGCTACATCCTAATACTGCCAGAAGTACCAGACAGAGGTACAGAGCCCTTTGACTTGAGGGGTTATTGTGAAAGATATCTTGAGCAGCCAGCCCAATGCCTTTTGTGCTGGGAACAGTAAAACTGCCCAACAGAGAGCAAATACTGATGTAAACCATGATATTAGTAGGTCCATGAGCTGGAGCTATCCAGAAGATAAGCAGGAGAAGCATTAGCAGCACTACGCAGAGATAACCCACGAAAACTGGAAAACAAAAAGAAAATAAGATAATAGTAAGGTGCAAACTCTTGAAGTTTTAAAGATTTTAGCAGGCAAATCAAAATTGAATATAGATCCAAATAAATCACTGAGCTTTTAGAGATGTTGGGGGTGTCTGCAACTGATGATGTTGTCATGTTCTTCAGGTAAAACAAACAAATATGTAGTAAAATAGTGTTGCACATCTCAGCTGGATTTAAGATGGCTTTTTTTATTTTATCCTGTCTTCCACCCAGACTATTCTCCTTAAGGCTTCTATGACAGACAGCAGTGATAACACCTCATTCATAATCAGTTCACTAATGCATGGTGTGTGGATGCAGCAAAGAACTTAAACATAGAGTTAGATCCCATTAAGGTGAACAAGTTGCTTATGTACAGTTGGAAGAACCAGGATGCCATATCATTTACATTATAGCACCAGTTCAGAGATTAGAGTGGTGAGAAACATTTAATGCTTTACAGTTTTAAAGAAATGTATTTCCAGTTCATTTTGGATAGACTGAAATGGAAAATTTAGACCAGGGTATTTGTTTTCTTTTCTTTCTTTGCAAATTTTTTGGATACCTGATGTTATTAGGCTCGAGTTTCTCTCACCTAAAGCAATTAAAGGAAATAACAATAGCTGGCAGTTTAGCTCTTATGCAAGAAAAATAGAAGTGGGTCTGGCATTAGTAAGTGTGCTCCAGCAGCTACTGGGGCTTCACATTCTCTGTGAGACAGAACAGGCATTTCAGCATATTTCTCAACAGCCTATTTCTACACACCTTCATTGTGCAAAGAAATCTGCTTGGCACATAACTGGCATCTAATATAAACTTTTAATAAGAAAAAAAAAAGCAAACCAGCAAACCCATGCAGAATTAAAGAACAAAAGACTATTGGTATTTTTTGTTTTGTATAAAGCAAATTGAGATCCTAAAATTATACTTTTCATCTCTAAATAGCAAGATACATTTTTTTCACAATTTTAGAAAACTACAAGTTGAAATGCCTGTTTTTCTGAGCTTGCTGTGTAGGATGGTGTTTTCAAAAGTACCCACATTTTCCGTTCTGTACACATGTATCAATAAATGTGACGAGTTTCAAGTACAGCAAGGCATAGTTTTCCTGTATAAAAGCTGTACTGGGATGCCTCTGACATGTCATGGTTTCTTCAAAAGTCAGTTTTTCTATCTGGAAGAAGTGGTAAATCTCTTCCTCCTGTGTGCTCCTGACCAGCCTTACAAAACCATTATGAGTTAATAAAAGAATAAAGTACCTGGATTTGTAAGCTTCTCTTCAAGCTCAGCCTGAGTCGTTACACTCTCAGACTTTGGGGAATGGATGATGAGAACAACAGACCCAGCACAGCTCAGCAAACACCCCAGCTTGCCAAGAATGTTCAGTTTTTCTTTCAGTAAGTAAGAAGCTAAAATAGACCTTTCACAAAGAGGAAGAAAATTAGAAGTTTGACTACATCCTGTTAATAATGCTGTAACCGTATGTGCCACATGAATTTCCCTCTTAAAGGAATAGTATCAAATAGTATCAAATGTTGGTGGACCTTTGACCAAACACTGACATATCCTCAAAATTAATTTGACTTATCTTAAGAAAGATTCACCCAGTTACAGTCTTACTTATCCTTGATGTCTCATCTTGGGGGGAAAAAAACCCCAAAATAATACTCCCTCCTCTCTTCCCCCAAATCCCAACGTATCCAACACAAAAAACAACCCAAACAAAACCACAAAAACCCCAACACCTCAAAAACCACCACCACATGACCCCCTCCAAAAAAACCTGCAAACCATAGATCTGTCACCCAAGGCAGGTATCTACCCATTAACAATTTGGTGAGCTGTCACGAAGCCCCGTTTTATAGGTGCTACATAGTCAGGAGATAAAAGTGACTTGGTTACAAAGATCACAGGGCTCGGCTCAGGCACATGGCTGACCAAAATACACAAAATTATGTGACAAAGGATAAAATAATAGATGGTAAGTAAAGCACCATCAGCGTGCTTCATAGTGTATAAAACTAAAGACAACTACGAAGCCTGTACAATGCAATACTCTCTACTACTACACTGGTCATCTACTTCTACACTCTGAAGCAGATGACCAGTGCAGTCAGATACACAATTCAGAAGGCAAAAGAATAATCTGGAGGCAACACAAAGATTCATTTTCAAAGAATTGTACTTTTTTCACTGGAGCAGTTTCACAGCTGTAGTTTAGCTATTTCACAAAACATTTAGCTGCATATTAAACTCCTTAAACTCACTGCCTTTTTTGTTTCCCCACCCTCCCCCGTGAACATAACATTCAAGAAGCTGGGGGCATGTGTATGCAAGGGACTCCCTTGCTTCAGGAAAGAGGCCAAATCCAATTAAATGACAATCAGCATCAATAAACACACGTGGGCTGTGGATAGCAAGGGAGAGAAAGAATGTGGGACAAAAGGAAAGATCTACATAGTAAGGGAACTGTGACTAAGAGAATAGGCAGAAAAGTCCAGAATATAACATAGTGAAGGGAGGAGGTGAAAAAAAAACGTGTTTATCTGTTCCAGACCATAGTGATTGTTAAAGCAGAAGATACTCAGGAACCAGTCTTCACCACTGCCTTCCCCCTACCCCTGACCTCCACCGCTTTGCCTAGGAAAACGGGAATAGGTTACATTATAAAACATCACTAACAGTCATAAGCCTTACATGTCAGTGGACCTCCAGTGACCAGAGTCTATCTGACATTTCATAAAATAGTAACAGCATTCAGATTAAGAGCAAGAAAAGCAAACTCTTACCCAAATGGAACACCAAGAGCTCCCAAGGGCGTCACTAGCACAGTTGGGACTGCGGTGTATGCCAAGAAATTCCCTATTTGACCAAGAGCCACTGTGAAGAGAACCAGAAGTAAGTTTTAAATCCCTTTGTAAAAAGAAGCAATGAAAACTTACCCAATGCTGTTTGGGAAAGATGACCTAACTGGAAACCAGATGTTACAGATTTGCTTAGCTCTGATAATGTTGAACTTGAGCAATATGGATGGAATTTTTCTGTATTTTTCAATTACTTTTTAATATAGGGTTTATATTTGCCACACAAGAAGGGCACAGTAAAGTCTCATTTGCAGCTTTTCTTAGTTGAATATAAATAAGAAACAACAATGGCTTACACTCAAATATCTCAATATTATACTCAACTACTTAAATAAGGAGGACTAAAAGTATATATAATCCATGATTTCATCTTTGGAACATGCATATATGTAACACAAATGCACTTGGTTATAGTCCCTAACAGCAGTGTTACCTTTTGAATAGAAAATAAGGAGAATACTGAGGAAAGGAATACACTAATGAAATACTAAGCACAGGCTTAAGGACTCTTCAATACACAATAGACCATATTAAATTTTCACAATGCTATATAACACCAAAAGTAATTCCTGACCAATGTAAAAAGAACAGATCCCTGACAAGTCACAGTAACAGCCTCACAATCTTATTATTTTCTTTCTCCCAATGAAAGCAAATTCCAAGATGTACCTCACTATTGCACATCACAGCTGCAATAAACAACTCATGCGTTTGAGTTCTCAGCTGAAAGAGAAAAGCTGGATGGTTTTGCAAGTGCTGGCAGTTTATAATAGATCAACACGATGCTCACATAGTTACAGGGGCTGTGGTAACTAGCAAGACCCTTGAGATTCAACACAAATTACATACAGCTCAAATTCCCAGTTGATAGCAAGAGCCATTAACAGCATTTAAAAATATTTCAAGAATCCAAGCTGTCTTTATGCTCAGGCTGGCATTGCCCTCAGCTATCAAATGTTGTTACCATCATCCTGCCTCTACACCTGCGAAGCACTGTGCAAGCATTAATTAATTTACCAAATTAGCTCCCATTATCAGTAGCGCTGAAGACCTGTGTAACCTACAGGAAACAAAGGAGACAAACAAACTTACAAAACTGCAGAGTGTGGCAAAATCACACTAATTCAATTCTCTGAGGCCGTCTCTATGTGCAGGACTGAGCCAGAGAGGTTAATGAGCAGCATTTCTAGAGCAGAGAGTCAGTCATGGTCTTCCTGCCCTTGGGAACAGAGTAACTCAGCTGTCAGCCTCTGGCTTGGTTTTCTGCAGACATATGTGGCAACTCTGGCATTATCTTCAAGGCATCTAAAGGATCTGGGCCAGATCTTGCAGAGGACACGGCATAGCTGGCACACCATGTGTCTGCAGATTATATATACTTCCAAGTGACTCTGACAAAAAGTTGCTTTTTGGTTTTGGAGGTCCAGTGCCTTAACTTCCTGTTGGAAGAACCCTAACACATAGCACCAACACTGAGGTCTCTAAAGCTTCAAACTGCATGTACTGTAAGGCAACTGATCTTACCAGAGGTTTTCAGTATCACCACAGATTAATACTAACAGTCTCTCACCATTACACGTGATAGACTGGGGCTAATTAAAACCAATTGAAAAAAAAGAAGAAAGATTCTCAGTAACTGTTACCATCTACCTGATGTTGAGACCTTTGCTGCCAACCTATACAGTCCCCTCTGGATAGAAATTCCTATCCAGATATGTCAGTACTGTAAGTCAAGGCATGGCTTCAGTTCTTGAAGACACACTAAGCTTTAAACTTCATAAAGGAGTACCAGTATTCCTGAAGCTATTGCAACACAAAACTTGATGCACACTGACATGTCTACATCAGCAAGAAGACAGGAGTAACCAGGAGCACATGTCTGCTCTACACGTCAGGAGCTTTATTTCAGACTAACTTCTGCCTGCTCCCATAGGCTGAAAATCTGTTTGCAGCTGGTGTGCATTAGGTATGTTCAGCCCAGTTTCATCTTAAAGTCAAGTTTAGGAGCTCCAACAATGCTCTACAACATGAAATAAAGCCCAGCCTGTGGAGATAAACAGGAGATTTGCTTGGTAAGTTTATTCCCCATCTGCAATAAAACACTAGCGTAGATGCAGCCACTATAAAAATCAGTCACATCTAAACTGCCATCAAAACCTGCACTGAAACTAATTAATTAGCCAATTAATTGGTTTAGTGCTCACTGAAATACCTGTGCACATGCTACAATCATTCTTTTGACTATAGCATAAGAAAAAATCCCTAGCAAAATCTGTAGCCTTTCCTTTGCAGTCTTCAGTAATCCAGTGGATCCCAAGGCCCCAAAATCGCTAGGTAGTGTTATGCTGAGTCAGCATTCTGACACAGAAATTCTTGTTCACCATCGGAACAAATATTGTGAAAACAAGTTGGTAGAGTTTATGTGGGTTTTGTTAGTCATCCAGACTCCAAATTCCCTGCCAGAGAAAACCATGTCAGCTGTTACAATTTTACCCAGATAACTGGGGATATTGCTAATTCCCTGAGCACTGCCTTTCTCTGCATCCCAGAGATGTCTATCTAGCCCTTGATGTTGCTGTTCATGACTCTGTTGCAATTCTGAACCTATATGCTATCCTTAAGCAATTCTTCCCTTGATTCCTTTGTAAACTTACTGAGACTTTGTTTTGAAATACCTGCACCTGGCTACTGGACAAAAGCCAACTGATACCATTCCCTTCAGCTGTTTGTCTTCACGCAATTCAGTCAGCTCTTGTAAGCATGAAATCGTTTTCTCTGATTCACCACGATAAACTCATGTAATAAAACCTCTCTTATTTTAACTCCTTCTGCTCAGAGATTCAAGATGGGAGCCTCACAAGATAAACAACAGTGATCAATGCACAGATCTATTGCTCCTATTTGCAGTAGTAGTAATCCTGGCAGAGGAGGAAGTTGAAAGAACTACTTAAACTCAGGTTAAATTAGCTGAGGATTTTCCTCTGAAGCTCTGCTGGCTTCTATACTTGCTATGAACTTTGTCCTTCAACATATCAATCTGCTTCCTTTCCTTTTGCATTGCTTGAAGACAATAAAAACAGAGATTTCCCTTGCTGTGACAAAATCAGGGGCAAAATTGGACCCATACATTTTTCAGAAACAGCATCAGAACACTTCCAAGTAATTCACAAAAGGCTGGATTGGAGTCTAAACTGGAGTATGATTTTAAGCTCATGGGTAGGAGTAGGGCTGAAATGCTAGATGAGAAAGCTAGCTGCTCCCTATGCTCAGGATTCACATTAGAGAGTGAGCTTAGTGTGAGCCAAGTTTCCAAAGATAAGAGTAAAATTACACTGATCTCATATCAGAACCACACAAGGCTTCACATTAATCTTGTGGATTAAAAGCAAAACTGAAACTGTATCTGTTGAACTAGAAATCAAAAGGACTTTATTTTTTAATTAATCAAGGCTGGCAAAGTGCTTTCTGATCTAAAAAATAACATATGCTCAACGAGCCCTTTTGTGCAGAGTGACATTCTCTTATACAGCTTTGACTTTTATTAGAAACTCAGAAGACCAGCTCAATCAAGAGGCACAAACAGTGCAGGAACCCAGAGTCAGAGCAGTGTGTGGCTGTGCCCTGGGTTTAGCAGTAGCAGTCTTTTTTCTCCTTCTTGGTAGCTGGTGCAGTGCTGTGTTTTGACTTTCGGGCTGGGAACAAAGCTGATAAAAATGATGTTTTGGTTTGGCCAAGGACTCTGTGAGCCTCATGCTCTGCCAGGGAGGAGGGAAGCAGGGAGGAAGCAGAGACAGGACACCTGACCCAAACTGACCAAAGAGGTATTCCATACCACAGCACGTCATGCCCAGGATGTAACTGGGAGTTACCCGGAAGGGCTAGGGGGACTGCAGGGTTGGAGGAGGTATCGGTCGGTGCTTGGTCGGGCTGGGGGGGCAAGTTATCGGTCACCTGGTGCTGAGGTGCTGTATGCTCTTCCCTTGTTATTTCCTTTATCGTTACTATTATTGGTGGTAGCAGTAGTGATCTGTGTTATACCTTAGTTACTAAACTCTTCTTATCTCAACCCATGGGAGTTGCATTTATTTCTGATTCTCCTCTCTGTCCTTCCAGGAGCAGGGGGAGGGCAAGGGGGGATTGGGTGAACAAGCTGGCTGGCTGGGGTTAAACCACGAAATGCTGCCAAGGGCTGCAAGTACCAAACAGTTCAGAAATATGGAAAGCTGTCTGACTCAGGTTTGTCCCAGCTCTTTGCCTTCTCAAACACTGTAAGCCACAGTAGCCAGAGTGAGAGTTTACTAAAGGTGGGGTATTTCTGAAGGATAGGAATTTTATGACAAATGAGCATGAGAGTCAAGATGAGAACCCAGATCTCCTGATGTCTTGTTTCACCATCTAAGTGTAACTTGTGTCAATAAAAATTACCTTTAAAAATACTTACTTGCAATAGTGCCAGACCACCATACTATATCAGTTAAGTACGAAGTACCTGGAAGAGGAAGTACAGGAAGATATATTAGGAAAATATGAATTTGCAATATTGGAACTACAAAACAACGATTTCAACAGTCTCAACTGTTAATGACCTTCATCTTAACCCCATTCTTCAATGCAACTGAGTGTGAGTAAATAAAGAGAGTGTGCTCAGCTTTGATCTAAGCATCAGATTGTCCTAAGGCAATATATTAATCAGAAGTTCCTATGTGGTGCTAAACACGGTGTTACATACAAGAGCAAAATGTCAACAGATACTTCTGAGGATGACATTTAAACGTACAGATTAGAACCGATACTAGGGACCAGGAAACCTATGAAACAAAACATTATTTGGATCAATTAATTCACTAATATAATCTCAGTAAAATTATATGGAAGAAACTGTAGCAGGCAAATCGCTTTGGTACAGTTTTGGCAGTACTGATCCTCCTGCATTTGAGGACTACAAAGTGCTATGACTGAAGCCTCTGAATTCCTGACACACTACCCATTTCAAAGAGAGGAGTAAAAACTCTGGATCATCCCTGAGTGCCTCCCAAGCTCAAGGAGGATTATTTTCGTCGTCAGATTACAGGCTTCTGCCTTGGGATGCGCCAGGGGAGCCAGTGCCCAGCGTTTTGTAAGTTCTGCTTCTGTAGAACATCAAGGCTAATGACCACTTACTAAACTAAAGCCTGGCCTCTGCCGGGTGCCACCTTGGCATCATGCTATGCTCTCATGTTCTGCTCCTCTTTCTAGCAATTCAGCTCTGTATTTATTTGTGAAGACGCTCGCTCAAGAGCTGCTGGAACAATACTCTGAAATCCCGAAAAACAAAAGAAAAACACAGTAATCCATAACTCTTGAGATGTATAGAATATTAAGCATTTGGAAATCACACTATATAATTGAAATGAGATTGAAAGTGACTAATGAAGATGGCCAGCTTTAGAGTGGGAGTAATAATTTTCTACTTTTGTTACTGTATATATAATAAAAACATTGTTGGGGGCACAAATTATAGAAAATATTGACTCAAGTGAGGTAACTTTGCAAAACATTTGTCACCCACTGCTGTTGCTAACTGAGCCAGGATTACTAATCGCATTGATACTACATTGATTCAATAGAGAAGACAGAAAAGACTTGAAGTGCCTCCTTGTAAATTATGCAACACCTACTGAAGCCAATGGAAAAAAAAGACATCATCTGACACTACCTTGGGCTCACACCTTTGGCCATCAGATTCGAGGCAGGATCTCACTACTTCACAACATTAAAGAGAGAGAAACCTGGGGTATTGCCTGGATGTCTCCACACTGAGCACAGCCATAGGAAATACTACAGATTGCTCAGCAAGATACACAAATAAACATCAGTAATATCTTCAAAACAGGATGCTTTAGAGCTGCCAGCACTGGGAAGGCAGGCAGGCACACGCCTGTCACTCACTTAACCCAGTGCTGTACTGAAAGCTCTTCAGGGATGATTAGACCCAGCTACACTGCAAAATGGAAACTTCCTCCAACTGCCCTGGGATGGAAAGCCGTTCCTTTCTCTCGAGGCTTCTCACTGCTTACCTTACAAAACAATATTTGTATTTATGATGCAAATGTGATCTCTCTGTGGACAATAAAATTGGATTACAGCCATCTCGGAGGGAAAGACTGTGCTCCCACAACAGTACTTTGGCTGAGGCCCTTTACTGTAAGGTCATTGCAGGAAAGACAAAAACTTGTTAGCTCAGGCTGACAGCTGGTAGTAATGTAGTTTCAAGCTTGCTCTACAAGCTGGATACAGTGGGCACTGGAAATGCACTGCTGTTCTAACACCTCAAAGACATGCATAGAATCGTGTATCTGTGTGTATTTACATACACACAGATACAGAGAAAATACCTAGCATGTCCTGGTCACTAACAAGGATTTTTCATAAGGAAGAGTTCCCAGAACCTGTGGGCACGTGTTCACATGCACAGACACCACCTACAAATCAAACGGTTATTAACCATATAAATACAATTAAAAGGCCTCATGCAACCTGCATTTAGAGTGTTCCCCTCACATAAATGCATGACATTAAGAACAAATAAATACATTGCATTTTTCCATACTCAAAGCATCAAGATGCAACTAGCAAAGGCTATTTGGGAGTTACATGCTTTGGAGAAGCTCAAATTTCAGAATAAAAAACAGATGATCTTTACAGTCCATGAATTTATAGCTTCATTTTGGCGATACTGTCTAGGCAGCACAGTAAGTTCCTGAATATGTTCATCTTGGGAAACAATAATGAGTTATGGGATTTCTGCATGAAAAATAAAAGAACTGATTTCATATTATTGCTGTGCCTTTCTTCTCTACAAAAGGAAACCGCCACGTGACTGATGTAACTTGCCATGTGTGTGTCCGTGTGGAAGAGCTAGAATAAACAACTGACAAGCCGTGCTGGTGCTGCTCATGGCAAGAAACTAGTTCAGCCAGAGAAATGGGTAGAAAAGTCCCACAAGTACCTGAAAATGCCGCAAGAGAAACCTGTGTACGGACACACTCGCATACACACGAGTCCCGCTGTTGTGTTACAGCGAGATGAAGACCAGTCAGCTGGCCATACATCCATCGGGAAGCTGTTGCTGCTCTGTCCACGTTAATATACCCTCACAGCCCTCCACCTGCCGCCCCCTCCGTAATTTATCATCACATCCCTCACGCCGATCGCGCTCCAGTCGCCGACCTCTGATGCCAAACACGCTTAAGGTGACAAACTGAGGCCGGCTCCCCTGGTCCAGCGCCTGGACGGTGCCCCCTGCTGCAGGGGTCTGCCACGACCCGGGAGTGCCTCACCCCGCATCGTCCGTCCCCCCCAACCCTTCCTCGCCCGGGTCGGCCGCGCCGCAGCGAGGGGCAACCGCGGCCCTTCCGCGGGGGCTGCCCGGGTGCCAGGGGCGGGAGCGGCCTTCGGGGAGGTGCCGGGGACGATGCTCCGGGGCAGAGGGGGAGAGGGAGGCTGTGGAGTGAGACTCCGAATCAGGAGCCACCGCCGCAGCACCGGACCCCTACCTCTCCCGCGGGCCCGCACGATCCCCTTCTTCTGCAGGACGAAGGTGGAGCCGTTCACCAGGCTGGAGACCACGGCCACGCTCAAGCCCAGCGACACGGCGGCAGGGCCGGGGCTCTGCGCTGCCCCATCGCCCGCTGCCGCACCGACCGCCATCCGCATCGCCCCGCCGACAGAGCTTCTGCCACCGCGGCTACCCGGGCCCAGCGCACCCGGCCACGGCTCTGCGCCGGACCCGCCCCGCCCTGCCCTGCGCTGCGCTGCGCCGCGCCGGGGGCGGCTCCGGCTCCGGGCGGGCGGCGGCGGCAACCGCGGCTCCTGGCACCCGTCCCGCGCGGGGCCGGCAGCAGGATGACGTCATAGCAACGGCATCGCTGTCCCCTACACCCCCCCCAACCCAATCTCCACTCTGACGTCACGGCTCTGTGCTGCCCTTCTCCGCGCTGGCACCGCGGGGGGACAGGCGGAACCGCGCAGCGCTTTGGGGTGCGGGGAGAGGGGTCGGAGCGGGTCTTCGGCGTGGGGAAATACGGAGCAGAAGCTGCGGTCCCCGCGGGAGGGAGCTGCGAGCGTCCGTGGGCAGGGGAACAGGGGAGGTGTGCAGAGGGATGCGGGGGGACGAGGGGACGGGGGGAGACGTGCAGGAGGATGCGGGAGGACAGGAGGGTGCAGCAGAACACAGGGATGCAGGTGGACAGGGGGACGAGGGTAGATGTGCAGAGGAACGAGGATTGGGCCAGGGTTTCCGGCTGGGAGCAGTGCTCCTCTCCGCCGCTCTCGTTTTCCTCGGGTTTGGGCGGGGGGTCCAGGATGCCACTGCGGCTCCAGCCACGGCCTGGATCTGCGGCTCTCCATCCGCCCCGGCACGGGGTCATCGCTCGCTTTTTGAGAAAACAGTCTCTCAAAGCATGAAGCGCTGAGCTGAAAGCAATCTTGCTTGCTAGGCAGAAATACTTTCTAGCCCATATTTCATTGCAGTTCTTAACCATTCCCAGATATGCGTTGAAGTAAATCAATCCATAACAACATCCATTGAAGGAAATGGGATATGGTACCTTGGCTTACTGTAAATGACAGTGGATGTTTTTGTCATTTGTAACTATTTGGCATAGTTCTTAGTATAAATTTTAACATTCCCAGGAAATAGGAGTTTAGAGAAGAAGCAAACTCCTGAAAATGTTTCTCTTGTTAGCATATTTCACAGTTTGCCCACACTGCTTGAGGCAGCCGTCCTAGGAAGGCACAGAAAGGCTGCAGTATGCTTTTGTTAAGGTTTAATGGCAAGAAGATGTACTACTTACTGCAGTGTTGCCTATATTCTCACCTAGGTTGCTTCACTGGGTCATTGTATAACTGTTGAATGCTATGGAAGAGAGGATCCATCCTAGTGAGACTCACAAGACCTGCAAAATGGGAACATGGGAGGTGGAAGAACAGTTATCCATAGCAACCCTTGGAAACAAAGATAGAGGTGAAGACAAATACAGGCTAATTATAAATATCCATTTCTGATCTATATACAGCCTAGTAACACGTACAGTGAAATTTATTACAGGAAATAATTTATGCTTGCACAGTGGAAAAATGGTGGTATATATATTTAACAGCCTTTGCATTTAATTATCAGGCAAGTTTCTAAACAAAGCTCAAACCTGACCCAGCTCTCTGGTGTGATTGAACTAAGACAAAACCACGTACCAGAGATCTCAAGAAAATGGTTTATTTCTCTCCAGGCTTAACATCTTAATCTAATTATGAAACTTATTTTGCCTTTCTAAAGTACATGTTTGGATAGGTAATTCTAAATACACTTCATCTGTCTTATTCAGGTAGTGGCCATTACACTTGGCATATAATAGTTGTAGTGTTCTTAAGGATTAGTAATAGACTAAAATAAACACAGCACCGATAACTATTGAATTTGCACATATTTTGAGAAACAAAGCCTGACTTCACTAATGTCTTACAAGATCACCTGATGCAAATAAATCTGCATTATCTAGTTTACAAACATTTTGGACCAAAACCTCAAAGATAACATCTGTTATCATTGCTTGAAGGGAAATCGGATGACCTTTCTTAAACCATTACATGTATACAGTATATTAACTCCTAAGGCCTGTCTAGTCTTCAGAGACTGAGTTTTGCTGTGATGGTATCATTCCTCTTCCCAAAGTTGTGTCATCATGTTTGCAGCATTGCAGAACAACGTGCTTCGGGTTAGTTTGGCTTGTATGTTGCAATACTGCCATATTACTGATGTCATGGCAGTCTGATGTCTCATGAACACACAAATTGCATAGAAGGAACCTCAGATGTGGCATTTCCTCCAACAAGCTCTGCCTCTCATTATCAGTTTTATGCAACTCCAAGCTAAGCACTTGTAGTACTTCTAGTTCCACGCTTATTGGCCACTTACTGCTTAATTCCAGCAATGTGTGAGAGCTGGTATAAAAAGCATACAGGTTGCTTTACCAAAGTAGCTAACTCTGCACTGGTAGAGTATGGTTATTGAGGATCAATCAAGAGGTAGGAGCAATATGTAACAGACTTCTGTAGGGCTCCTACCCAGAGGAAGAGATGAGGTAAGTCTCTTAGAAGTGAATAAGCAAAGTTGGCAGAGGTTCCAACATAATTTTGCAGGGGCAATGGAACTTTTCTGGTTAGGAAGGGATTTTCCCTGATCTGAAGGGGTAGAAAAATGCTTATGCCTGATGTAAAGGAATGTATTGTTTCCTCCGTAATGGCTTGGATTCCTCTGTTCTGTTTGTTTTATGTAAGTAAAAGATTTTCTGGGTTTGTTTGTTTTGTTTTTTTAATTAAAGCAGTTGTTGGAGTGTTTTATCTAGCCTAGAGGAAAATCAGATCATCCTGTATCTGACATGGAATGAAAACACAGTAGCTGTGCCCAGAAGATAATCTTGAAGCTCCTTATAAAATGGCTGGGAGAGAAGGGTGGAAGTTTACTAACAGTTTATCAGACCCTGAGGCAACAGCAGTAATTCTCCTTGGCAGAAGCGCTATAGAGATTCACCTTGCCAGCAATTGAAGCAGTAGGAATTGAGACTCCAAAGCAGCAAGAAGACAGTGGCAATCCTTGCTACTTATTCCCATCTCTTGAGAACCAAAGACCACAGTAAAAGCAGTTGTATAAAACCTTGTGCAATGGTCCACTGAATCTAGGCCTGAAGATGACCTAAAAGTTCTTTCTAAGGAGCCTTGAGCAGTTGACTGGAGTATAAAAGTGGCTTTGTTGCAAGTGGGGCCCCACTGGTATAAGTGGGTCCTGCAAGTGGGCAAGGAAATGATTTGAATCTTGGTTGTAATCTAGATCTTGATTTACTATGGGCATCCATACCTGTGGATGGGAGAATGGAAACCTGCTGAAAAGAACTGCCCTGCACTGATGGGACCTGTCAGCTTTTTTGCTCTGTCCTCTGTTAATAAGGACTTCGTTGAACTGGACCAGAGAGGACAGTGTAGTCTTTGGGTGCAGATTTAAGCTTTTAAAGTCCACAATGGTCCTTATGAAATGAAATCGTAGCACTGAGCTCTGCTGCACTGTAGACAGTGGCCACAAGATTCCTGAAAACACCCTCTGGAGCTGGAACTGAAGGAAACCAAGCTCAGTCTTGATGTCTGAATTTGAATGTCTAAAACAGCAATAAAATGTTATGTTTTATTTATATATATCAAAAATATATAAGTAATAAATATATATATATTGCTTATATCCTATCTGCAATATGGGAGGTCACATAAGCTTCTGTGATCTCTTTCCTATGGGTTACAAGAAGAAAGGCAACCCTTGGGGTACACCAGTTCTCTTCCAGGGCAGAACAAGGGGCTGCAAATCAGTGCAATCCAGTCCAGTCTTGAGTGAGAAAGTGAGGTTTCTTTTCTTTTCCTAGGTTTCCTTTGTTAAAAGTTCATGCAATGGAGTTTGTTGTTGATGTGCAATTCTTAAAGTTTGGTCTGAATGAGTAATAGCTGCTGTCACTTTTGCTCATGGAAACCAAATTCTCTCCTAAATGACAGTTACTGCAATTCTGGAGTTTTGGAGAACTTCAACATCCTTCCTGAAGAGATGGTACAAGACTGACATTAAGTTATTGACATGGCAGGTATACTGCAGAGAGATACCAGTTCAGCTCTCTTACAAGGAAAACAGATCTCTTCAGAGAGAATGTATCCTTTGTACAGCAGGCAGAAGCTAGACAGCTAGTTCTGATGCATGTTCATGATCACGCTGAAGAGAAACTGCATTAGTTAACATCATGGCTACTCACATTTGCTGTGCAGAAATCACTTCTAGATTCTCTGTGACTTGGAAACACAGGAAAAAGCAAATTTTCTAGTTAATCTTATAGCAGATGATGCAGTCTACCTATGTTAGGTGCTAACACTGACCAGGGTGTACTCTTCTATGCTGATTTCCAGAAGCTGAATACATCAGCTTAAATGTGATAAACATAGCATATGTATATCCAGTCCCTTGTCTTCATGTATTAGAAGGGTGGCGAAAGCCTAGCACACATTAGTATTTTAGCATGAACCTTTAGAACAAGTCTTCCAATGAAGGTGTGGTTATTACAATCTTTAAAAAATAAAAGCAGGCTCTATCACAATGTTCTTTAAGAAGGATTTGCCCATCTTTCCCAGACCTTGGTTGCGAATTAGCCACATTAACCTTCTGTTTGAGCTAAAAGGAGTTTTGGCCTCTGTTTTAGACTTACAGATGTTGTCAGTTTGTTATTGTAAGCTTTGACATGGTGACCTACCTCATTTCATAAGCTGCATACCAAACTAGTGGGTAGTAATCATTGAATCATCTGTGGTGGTAGTCTCTTCCCATTATACCGGGAGGCTGCTGAATTCAATGAGCACCAAGTTTTACGGTATACCTTGGAGGCTTGGACAACTCAAACTCTCTGAACTGAAGAACATCAAAGGCACTTCTAATCAAGTAAACTCTTTCGTAAGATACACTAGCAGACAGCTCAGAGAATATAGCAGTCAGCTGCCTTCTCAGAGATCAGTCTTTGTAAGTTTTAGTGCATCCTGTATTCTAAAGCCTGAGTTTCTTTGTAGAGCTTATTTTTCTATGGGTACTTTTGAATGGGGTTTCAAGGCAGTATTGTTGGAAGACTGAAAATGCATCGCAAGGTATCTGAACTGGATTTTTATTTGAACAATAGGTTACTAATTTCATAATGAGAATGACCTACATTTAACTATTCTCTTGAAGCTTCACTTTCAATAGACCATGCATTTGCAAACTGTAAGGCATCAAGCTCCTGGGACTCATTTAATTTCAGGTGTTTATAATATACCACCATCCTAGTAATGTGTCTTCTCAGCAGCAGAGCTACATCT